CGTCGTCCTCGGCCTCATTCTTCAGCTCCGTGTCCTCAAGGTCTGGCCTCTGTACACCTTCCGGGAGCGATTCACGGACATCAGGCTGCAGGGGAGGAAGGCCATACGCCGAGGGGGAAAAATCCTTTTGCTCAATGCCCAAGTGCCGAGCCATCCTCCGGTAGATGAGGAACTGGGTGAAGAATTCGCCGGCCTCATAATATTCTCTGCCCTTCCGGGCCATCCATTCCCACCCAGGGCCCTCGGCCCATTCCTCGACATATGCCTCCACGACCGAGGACAGCCACATCTTGCGTCCCTCGGCTCTCCAGCCCTCGGCGACGAAGGCATCAACGGCCTCCTCCTGAGCCGTGGCGACGGCTAGCGCCTTGGAGTCCTCGGCCTCTTTGGCAGCTCTCCTGGCCTCCTCGGCAGCGGCCTCAGCATCAGCCTTGCTCTTCTCTGCAGCCTCCGACCTCAGTTCCATTTGTCGAAGCTCCTCTTCTAGATTGGCCCCCAGCTTCACCGCCTCTTTATTTTTGAGGATGCATTCCTTCATCTTGGCGTCCTGCTCTGCTTTATGGAGGCGCCATTCTTGGAGCCTCCGGGCATGTTCACCGAGGGCTAGACAAGCCTGCAGACCAACAACCAAAACGGTTAAAGGCAATTGCACAGTATGATCAAAGGAAAAAAGGAAGAAAGCCGAGTAAACACTTACAGAAAGGGAGGAGCGGAGAATGTGGTCCTCGAGGGCCGCATCGTTATAGGCCCCGAGGGCAGCCCTATCGGTCTCAGGGGTTATGCCCCTCAAAATGGCCCCCGGGTCAACAGCGCCGCTGGCCAGGGAGGTCCCCCTCGGGAACGAAACTTGGAGGACCTCAGGCAGCAACTCCTCTGCCCCCGCCGGCGTTTCACCCGACGGCTTCTCCACATGCACCCCGGAGGCGGGGTGCTCATCAGCACTGATGACCGGGGGCTCCTTCTCGGCGATATCCCCCTTCTTCGGCTTTTTGGTAGCCGGGGGGGACCCCTTGGTCGCCGCCTTCCTCTTGCCGGCAGCAGCATCGCCCTCGGCTTTCTTGAAGAGGGCAGTGGCGGGCTTCTGGCTGCCCTGTCCCGACCCCTTCGGGTCCTGTTTCTTCAGGCGAGCGAGGCCCTTCACGTTCACCATGGAGACGGGGATACCTGCAAAAAATATGACAAAGGGTTAGGCCGACGGGTCTAAGCGAAGGGACAATGACATCCAAGCAAAAAGAAAACTAAGTACAGAATTCTAAAGCCCTCGGCTCCTACCTCCGGCTCCTCCGAAGGCCTTGTTGAAGGGAGGGTACTTCTCATCGGTCTCCCCTATGAAGCGGTACCTCCGGAACCCGAGGGTGTATAAATCCTCCTCGAGGGTGCAGTCTTTGATCGCCACGTTCTTATTTTTCCCCTCCGGGAACTTGGCCAGCTTTAGGTCGTCTTTCTCGAGAGCAGCACTCCTGATTTTTTCGTGCCTTCGGAATCGATCACGCAACTCCCTCGGGAATGGGCTCTCACCCAACTTTACGTAGCACCAACGTTCCCTCCATCCTTTGTTGGAAGAAGGAGCATCGGAGAATAGCTTGAAGTGGGCAATCTGCTGCAGGTTTGCGTACCCCTCGCCGTTTTCGTGCCCCCCCCCCCTCCGGCACAAATTAAAGCTCTGGAAGAATAGATCCAGGCTGGGCTTCACCCCTCGGGACTTGCAGAGCTGGAGGAACCCCGCAATGTAGGAGTGGCTGTTGGGCGTGAGTTGGCAGGGGACCAAACCAACAAACCTCAAATACTCCCGGAGGAACGGGTGCAGAGGGAACCTAAGTCCCATAGAAACCGAGAGGACGTGAATGGCGATACACCCCTCGGGCGCCCTGGACAACACGTCGTCGGGACCTGGCTCCACCACTTCGGCCGAGGGCCCCACGTGCAGCTGAGTCACGTACAGATCTGCCCTATCAGCCTTCGACCTAATCTCGAGGGCCTCAGTGTTCAGCCAACTGTACCCCTCGGGCATGTCCACGGGCTTTCCTTGATCGACAGCCCTCTCCTTCTTCTTGGTAGCGGCCTTCTTCTTCTTCAAACCGGAAACCGCCCTCAGAGGTATCGGATCTAGCGGCCTCGAGCTACTGGCCTCCCCAGAACCCCGAGGGGGGAGAACAGCAATCGTAACCTTCGAGCTCTCATTCTGCGCCTCATCCTCCGTTGTTTGCCATGCGAGGGCTAAGTCTTCATCCTCGCACTCCTGCTCGAAGCCCTCGGCTTCGACCTCAGCAATGAGTTCCTTCTGGACCTCCCGAGCCAGGGCGGCATCAGCACCGTCCGAGGGCTCGCTCACGGACTCCACATCTGAAGCGTGCTCCTCATCAACCGAAGGGTCCCCCGATATGTTTTGGGAATCGCTCTCGGACGAAATTCCTTGCCACGAAAAGCACCTCAGGTTTCGAAAGATTTCTACGGGATCCTAACCCTAATTTAAGGCCAGAGGGCGGAACTTACAAAAAGTGCTGAGGGGAAAGCGGGACACTGACCTTGAAAAGAGTTTGACCGAAGGCTTGAGTTTCTCTCTCTAGAACTTTTTGCAGAGCTTCGCTAGGGATGTTGGACGCGTAAAGGAGGAATGGCCCTGGCTTGGGGTATTTATAGGCTCCCAGATCCGGGCTTGGGCCGAGATCCGGGCTCCCAGCCGTCAAAGCCATCATTACGCACCGTCGTTTCACCCAACCGGTGACGCCCGCCCGCGAGCAGCCAATGGCTACATGACACATGTACCCCCCCCAACGGCTATAAACCTGACGTTAGGTATTCCAACGACTATATTCCCAACGGCTATATTCTGGAAGCCCCCGGGTTTTCTACTTCACTCCACTTCATCAAGGATAGCTTCCGGGTACACTTACCCAGAAGTGCCCCCGGGTTGTGCCCCACACAGCACATAACAGACGCCTTCGGGATCACTCCTTCAGAAACCCAAGGCTTCATATCAGGGCACCCCTCGGGAATTCCCCCTCAGCACTGCAAAACCGGGTAGCCCCCGGGGAGTTGCCTTCATTGACGGATAACCCGTCGCACACAGGTAATGGGAGCCCTCGGGTATCTTCATCACCAACTAATCAACAAACAGTGGACCCCCCGGTAACAACTCCGTTGCCGCCCTCATCCAGCAGGCCCTCGATCCCCGGATTGAGGGGCTCCCCTTCGGCATCCCCAGGATATCAACGGCAAGCCTTCGGCTGATCAATACATGAGCCCTCAGAAAAAGAAGAGCCTTCGGCATTACCGTTATTCTCCATTTTTGACCAAGGTTTGACATTTTCGATTCATCATTGGGGGAATTCGGTGCACTCTTTTTCCCTCATTAGGATTTTTCCCCCCAGGGTTTTTCCTAATGAGGTTTTTAACGAGGCATCCCCCCAAAATGAAACGAAAAACGTCAGCCTTCGGCCCACAACAGCAACACAACTACTCTACTCCTTTTCACCACTTTACAAGTGCCTCAAGGAGTGGGGGACTGGAGGACCCCCTCGGGAAAATCATTAAATTACAAAAGATTTAGAAATTCCAACAAACAACAAAGCAAGCCCTCAAGTCCCGACATGTGGGTAACTGAGGGACTGCCTTCGGCAGGGACATAAAAGCAACAACTCCTCACCAACTTCAGAGATCACGACGGGACAACATCAAAGGGCAAGCACAAATTACTCCTTTTCCCTCAAGTACCTTTCGGCAAAAGGAGTGAGGGACTCCTGATGGAGTATATGGCCCGGGAACCCCCGGCCCACAGACTCCTACTACTCCAGCGAAGGCCCAACAGGCCCAAAAGGCCCGACAGGCCCAAATCACAGCGCCCAGAGTACCAAGCAGTCCGCACTACGCGCCAGGGGTGCCTTCGGCCCCCTGGCCGAAGGCTCCAAATTCTCACAGAACGGGTTTCTCAAGCAAATTAAGAAACTGGGAGAAAACGGCGAAAACAGTAGCCCTCGGCACTGTGAGCCCTCGGCACCAGGGTGCCATCGGGTGGAAGAGCCCTCGGCTACTGCTCTATAGCCGAAGGCATCTCACTCGACAAGATATCCGCCTCACATGCGTACAGATCACCGTACCCCGCATAGACGTCCCATCCAACAGCCGCATTAAATGCGGCCACATGCGGCTGCCAGCGCCAACCAGTTGAGGTGACCCCTCGGCCAATGAGCGCTTGACACGTGTCCCTGCCCGGCATTTATTGCTACTATAAATAGCACCCCATTTCCTCATTTGTAACCACGCTGAAAACGGCATTCATACTGAATACACTCTCTCTCTCTACTTTTACTTACTTGCTCTGACTTCTCTCTAAGTTATTCCCCGTAATAACCCTTCGGATATATACCCCCGGGTAGACTATCCATCAACAATATTGAGGTGTATAAATGGGTCAAATAGACCCTTTAACAAGTTATCCGTAATCATGGGTGCTAAACAAGCAGTCAAATTACAACCGGAATTGACTCTGATATCATGTTAAGACCTAGGGTTCCCCCTAAAAGGTCAACCTGAGGAGTAGTCCTAAGTCTTATATAGTGTTTTATTGTTTTATAGCTTTCCGGTGTGAGACAAATACTTTAACATGACTGTATTGGTTGATTCTGCTGAAATTTATGAAGTTCTGACTGAAGTGGCTGGATTGACTGATTCTGTTGATTTATAGAAAAAATATATTTTATTAATTAAACAAAGAAAAAATTATATGAAAAATGGCTAAAATTGTCTTCTGTAGTAACTTTAGTCAATACAGCCAGAAAAGTAAATCCAAATTTACTATTTTCTTATTATTACACAATTCAGCGCATGATATAAAAAGTTACGTGTTTCGTAAAAAAATGACTGATAAGCTCGATAAGCCGTAAAACACGGTCACTAAACATGTTCAAAATGTGTTACTTATGAACCAATCAAATGGTCGATATCAATAAGTAATCACTTCATATTTGGTCTAAAGGACCATAGAGAGGCATTTGTATTTGTATGTTCTACCAAATCTTTGTTAAAGTAATATTTTTTGGAGTAGCAAATAACATGATAATGAACCCTAGCTACTCTTAAATCGGGGCCAACTTTAACCCCTAACCAGGCTTACAATTTTGACAAATTTCACGTGTTGCGGGGAAGGCGTGTCTTGGAGATATATAAAATATTAAGGGCTGAAGTAAGATTATTTAAAAGTTAGGGACTAAAAGAAATATTAATATACACCCCGTTCTACATTGGATCCGGATTTTATGCCCGAACCGATTGAAGAGGACTATCCATTCCCCAATGTGGAGAAGTTAATACTGAAAAGTGGATACTGGATAGGCTTTTGGTATTTGGGTATTTTGTGGATAACTCAGTCTTTCCACTCTCAAGCTCTAGCCTCTGGGCAACAATGGCGATCTCTTCCACACCTTCTTTCTCTTCATCTGTTTTTATCTCTACCCCACTCTCAAAAGCCCCTTCTAAGCTCAAATTTATGAAATTCCCGAAGCTCCAAGTTTCTCGATCTGCATCCGTCCGTGCAGAACTCGCGACCCTCCCGGTCCTTTCTTTCGACGGCGAACAAGTGGGCTCCGCCACTCTCGACCTAAAGTCCGCCCCGAGCCACACCGCACGCGCGGTCGTCCACCGCGGTATCACTACCGACCTCCGTAATAAGCGCCGAGGCACCGCCTCCACCCTTACCCGCGGAGAGGTCCGCGGCGGCGGAAAGAAACCCTACCAGCAGAAGAAGACGGGTAATGCGCGGCGTGGGTCTCAGCGTACTCCTCTCAGGCCCGGAGGTGGAGTCATATTCGGGCCCAAGCCCAAGGACTGGTCCGTCAAGATCAACAAGAAGGAGAAGAGGCTTGCCATTTCCACCGCCCTTTCTAGCGCGGCTAAGAATTGCGTTGTTGTAGAAGAATTCAATGAAAAATTCGAAACGCCCAAAACCAAAGAGTTCATAGCAATGATGAAGAGGTTGGGTTTGGACCCGAAAGAGAAATCCATGTTCTTGATGACAGAGATGTCTGATAATGTTATGCTGTCGAGCAGAAACCTTGGGAAATTGAAGATGCTAACGCCTCGGACTATGAATTTGTTCGACATCTTAGACTCAGAGAAACTAGTGTTTACTAAATCAGCTGTTGAATTCTTGAATCAGAGATATGGAAATGATAACAACTGGGAGAATGATATCGAATTTGATGAAGAAGATGATGTGGAAGATGAGGAAGGTTAGTTCGATGTCTGTGATGCATTAGAACTTTCTTTAAAGTTTGGATGTGTAATGTTTAACAAGTTTTTATGTTTAGGATTCATAAAGTTTTGATCTTTAGGATTAATAAATTCTTGATTTTTATTGCAGGAGCTGAGACTGATGAAAATCCGGATACTTTGGAGTGATCTGCAACTAGTCAAAGACTTTAGCTTGGCAGACATTCCATTTATTTTGATCTGTTCAATCGTTGTAGAGTGTGTTAGAATTGTTAATTGATTATTGAACAATCATTTGTATGTAGTTATCTACACTCACCTTTTGTCCTATAGGCGATATGCACATACCGCCTATAGGGCAAAATCTTTGTAGATATACCACATGTGTTTTACAATGATACATCGGTGTATCAATGGCTGCTTACTTTGTTTAGTCATTTTGCTCTGGATTTTCCATGCTAAATGAATTCCTAGTGTATTTTGTTGTAGTTTCTTTGTATACTTCTACACTGATCCATAGCTTCACTTAGGATATATTTGGATCCCGGAAAATGCTAGGGAAATGAATATTAAATGACCAGTAATTATCAAATTGCGAAAAAGAAATGAAATATGATTGATATTTTTAAACTTATTACATACATATCAATGGCATAGTATTTATATAATAGAAATGAATTAATAAAAGGAATGCATTGAACATTAGAAATAAATTTATTTGTTTGAAGCAACATTTTATTTTACCTAACATTTTCTTGTCTTTGAAATCTTCTCCTATACTTTTCTCCCTATGTACTTTCCAGTTTCCCCCCGGCATTTTTCACGTTGCAAGCAGAGGCTTGAAGAATTGCAGCATCTTGCAATGCCATAGCCATTTATACTTTCTTTACTCATGTATAATGCAACTGCTGATCAGTATAGTTCTGTTGAGTGAAATGTATTTACTTGTCTTACTAATTTGGGTTTCAGCACTTCGGCTCGGATTTTCGTGTTGAAGGATGATTATACATGAATCATTGAGTCATTGGGTCTGTGAGCTTTAAACATGAACCATATACCAATTCCCTTTCCCTAGTAAAGATTTTCCTGGATCCAAATGCTGATTGTGATCTCTTTTAAATGCTTACTTGTCAGATAGAAGTGCCATTGTTTGCTATTTTTCCTAGACTATGAACCAGGTCTAATGGAATCCTCATGTGCTAGTAGTGTTCAGCGACCTCTCGGTTACACTTTGTTGGTACTACAGGATATCAGCCCTTGCACTATAAAAGTAGAGACATCTTTTAGTGTTGTAACATCAGGAAGATGTGTGAAGCGTTTAACTTTTGAAGTCTGGTCTGAATTGATTTGGTTTGAATTGGGCTGGTCTGGTAAATATCTGGTCTCTGTGTATTTTATAACTATGGAAGTCTGATCTAGTTTAGTCCAGTCTGGGACTAAAAATAATCCAAAAAACATCCTAAATACAACTAGATTCAGGCATTCAGCAAGAACTATTATACTACAATAACATTTTACTTTCAACCTCATTAAAGTGAAGAAATAGAAGACTGGAACTGGATGTGTGCTTGTTCTGCCAAGGCTAATTGTTTTATATCGTGTGGTCACAAAGCTGTATTTACCTCGATCAAGTGTTATGACTTATGTGTTACAAGTGTATGTTATTGTACGTAAGCCTATAAAACTAATTACCGCACAGGATCCAAATACCTCCTTTCTCGAGTAAAATGTATCATTCAAATAAATATGAGATGGATAGTTTAGTCACATTATCATGTTCGATTTTATGGGTTACTAGCGTTTATTTATATTTGAAGAGAGAGCAAAAACGTTATTTACATAATATGGAGCAAAATTCAAAAAAAAAACGTACATGACTTCACTATGGAGTCATATATACATATGTGTTTTCTTTATAATCATTCATTTTAAAATGTGACTTATAATGGAAGACCTCACTGCCTATATGAATGGTAATGAAGATGCCACACACGATATAGGACTCCATAGTGGAGTCTTATAATGTTAATAATTTTTATAAATAAATAAGAAAGTTTGATGATCCGCAATAATCAATATAGCATAACACAGTTCCTCTATTGGAAGTTCGGACCAATCTATTTTTTACCCGGACAAGGGATTGTTTGATTTTTGGCGTTTTCAGCCCTAGACGGGACAATTAGGAGCGTTTGTAGTGTAAGGATGTTTTTACTTGGACTGTAATTCGTCCCAGACCAGACCAGATCAGACCAGACTTAGATAGTTATAAAAATACAAAGAAATCAGACCAGACCAGTTCAGACCAGACCAGACTAGACTAGATCAGACCAGACCAGACCAGCAAATTACAGTCCAAGTAAAAACATCCTAAATAAAACAACGTTTTTGCATAACACGTTGTCATCCAAATTACCCCAAGAACTTTTTTTGAGAGTAGTTCTTTAGTTACATGACACGCGTATACAAGCCAGTTTTAACATGAGGACACACTTTTGTATAATTTTAATGATTTTTTTAATGAATTATCTATGTATACAGAAAACTAGGAGTGTGCATGTATAAAAGCGTGTAAAATAGCTTGTACAAAAGGAAATTAACGTACTAGAAAAATCATAAAACAATGAGATATTCTTTGGTAAAAAAACAATGAGATATTCTCAAAACATCAGTCAATATATTTTAGATCGATTTATTTTCCGTATTCATGAGCAAAATTCTTTCCAAGAAAATTTCGAAATCATTTACCTTAATACTCTCTATTATGATTAAATATGCAAGAAAAAATCGCCATACCTGCAACTTATGTTAAAATAGTAATTACTAGTGCATGCAAATTTGATGCATTTTTTAAATCACATGATGTTAATGCATTTTTTAAATCACATGAGTATTGACTAGAGTTTGGTGCATTAAATCTCAAATAGGAGTTCAACTTTCCAATTTTGAATAAAATATGAGTTTTATGAATAGCTTAAATGCGCTACTACACTGTTTTATGTTCTTTCACCTATATTATCCTTATTTATTCTTGTCTCCCATTTTAATTTTTCTGACAAAGAAACACTAGACTACAGCTCCCATTCAAGTTATTATTGGAATTAGGGTAAACACCTAATTAATGGAACAACTATTTCTGAGACGGGAGTACGTAAATGGTACGGGGGGCAATGGTCCCACCAATTCAAATGTGGTGATAAATATAATCATTATATAATCATTATATAATCAACTCAAAATTTGATGATAAATACTGCTTGGAGAAATAATGTATTTTATTTTAATTTATTAAACTCCGTATCAAATTACTACGTAATAAAAAACAGAACGTGGTACGGCTTCGAAATTGACAAGCCCCGTTAAATGGCCGGGTGGAGGTCAAACACGGAAGGTCCGCTTAACAGCAAATAGGTCGCCCAATCAACTGGATTGAAACCAAAAGCCTATCCAACTTACAAAGGAGCAAAGATCAGGTGTCCAATGCCTTGAAGACTTGGGGGCCGTTTACTTTTTGTCCATTAAATCCGAATGGATTAAAACGTCTGTTTAGATTAAGACGTCTACCAGGATTTAGCGACACTGTGATAATAAGCTGTTTACTATGTGTGCTGAATGAGAAGACTGAATTATGTTAAATGACTAAATAACTCTTCTTCCTAGAACAAGCGATGAATAAATATTTTCTGTTCATTTTCCTTGTTCTGAAGGGCAACTCATGTATTTTAGGGCCTCAATCCCCATTGCGGGACCAATAGTATTTGTAATGACAGCACCCCAGTAGCTCCACCAAGGAGCACCACTGCTACTTCCATTAGACCAAATCTGTATCATCAAGAAATTAAAGACCATATCAAGCAAATCACATTTTGCGTCAGGTTTAAGAAAGTCAAATGTTCGAACCTCGTTTTGTCCGGACCAAAATGTTTCGTTGATACAGTCTCTTGAAGAACGCCTTAATAGATATAGGCAGACCAAATACCGGCGACGCAGAAAGCTAGAACGAGAACGCGGCGAAGCCCGGAACCGTGGCCCTCCATAATTATGTTACCGGATTAAATAGTTTCTGATGGATAGTGTACCTGGGGGTATCTATCTGAGGGGTTACTGCGGGGAGTAACTTAGAGAGAAGTCAGAGCAAGTAAATAACAGAGATAAAGAGTTCAAATGTGTATTTGAGTTGTATTGAGCGTGGTTTACAATAGGGGAAAGGGGTGCTATTTATAGTAGCAATAAATGCTAGATGGGGACACGTGTCAGCAATCTGGTGGTCGAGGAGTCACCTCAACCGGGGTGACGCTGGCACTCGCATGTGGCCACATTAAATGCGATGGTTGGATGCGACGTTTGTACTTGGTACGGTGATCCAGTGCATGTGGACAGGAGATTCTGTCGAGGAGGATGCCTTCGGCTGCAGATGACAGTCTAAAGGCCCTGCATACCAGGGGTCTCATAGTGTCGAGGGCTCCAATTGCCGAAGGCTTGGTTTTCAAGCCTTATTCTCCCGTGATGTTGCCGAACCCAATTCTGTCACTGGTTAGCCTTCGGCCATGGGACCGAAGGCACCCCTTCATGCTTCGTGGCCTGCTTAGAGCTCCATCCTGCTGGGCTTGGTCCGCTTGGGCCTGGTTGTAATAGTGGAAGTATGTGGGTCGGGGTCCCTGGGCCATATACTCCATCAGGAATCCCTCACTCCTTTTGTCGAAAGGTACTCGAGGGAAAAGGAGTAATTGTGTTTGTCCTCTGATGCTACTTTGTTGTCGTTTGTAAAAGTGGTGAGGAGTTTTGCGCTTGCGTGTTTGCCGAGGGCAGTCTCTCAGTCCCCTACACTTTGGGGCCGAAGGAAAATATTGACATTTTGTATTTTTGTGAGTTTCCCGAAGGAGTCCTCCAGTCCCCCACTCCTTGAGGCACGTGTAATGTGGTGAAAAGGAGTAGGGTAGTTCCTGTTTCTATCTCAGGGCCGAAGGCTGACGTTTTTCGTTTCATTTTAGGGGGGTGCCTCGTTAAAAATCTCATTAGAAAAAACCCTGTGGGAAAAAATCCTAATGAGGGAAAAAGAGTGCACCGAATTCCCTCAATGATGAATCGAAAAGGTGAAACCTTGGTCCGTGATGAAGGACAGTGTTGATGCCGAGGGGTGTCCATGAGTTGAGGGCCTTCTTCCTGGTTTAGCCGAAGGCTGATTGCTGATATCCTGTAGGTGCCGAGGGGAGTCCCTCAGTCCTTGGGTTGAGGGCGTGTTGACATAGATGATAGCTTTTGTGTTGCCGAGGGGGTTCCCTAGCTCTTGATAAGTTGGAGGATGAGGGGTCCCGAGGGGTCCCGTTATTGTATGCCGGAGGCTAACCACCGATGAGGGGGTTTGAAGGTGTGACCCCGGGGGGGTCCCCCCCGGTTTTCCATATATTGGGGTGTAAGGGTCCCCGAGGGGTTCCCTGTTGTTCAATGTAATGAGGCCAAGGGTCCCCGAGGGGTTCCCTATTGTTCATATGGAATGGGGGGTTTGAATGTGGTGGACCGAGGACCAGCCCAAT